TGCCCCCCTACTAGGGACTGGGTTCCCTTGCTTACCTACTTACTCCGCCTCCATATACCTCTGTCGAATCGCCACTCTACTCCCCCTCCACCTCATGCCTCACCCCAACCCCTAAATCCGAAATCTTACTCGCTCATTAACTCCAAGCTCCAAACCACACATAGAATCACATGAATCAATCAACACCACTACAGAACTTGCCATCACCATACCAACCAACCAACCTGGCAGTACCTCGGTCATGACATTAACAACGATCCATTGACACCTCGGGCTCATCCCCCATGCCCGAGTTCATTTTACTGTCGAATCGGATATGCATGTGTAACTAGATCTCATCGTACATTTTAAATTGGATGCCGGATGACATCATGGTTCTGTGTCAACTCGTTGATTGACTAGACTGTGTTCGCGTGGTAGGCTAACAGGTATTGTCGGAGCGTCGGTGTGAGCGCTAATGTGGTAAAATGGGTGAGTACTCGCTGAGAGTGGTTTGATTTTTTTGACGAATGTGAGCTTGCAGGAAGTGCGATAAATCATTAGCCTTTGCCAAGTAAGTTACCACCCTCTGACATTTTCCAACACCTACTCAAAATTTACTTCACACACTTGACTGCTTCCTGGTTTACCCCAATAGGACTTCACGTTACAGTCTCACGGACACTTTGTAAATCGTATCTATTGTCGAACCTGCACTAGTATAGTGCGAGGACTCAATTCCAACACAATGGATGCCGGACGCTGACATCATTCATGGTTCTGTGTCAATCTTTTTTTTTTTTTTTTTTTTTTGTTCCAATTATTGTCCATTGGGGTAAAGTACCCTATGTCGGACAGTGCTAATCTAGTCTAAAGGGGCCCCTGCCCCTACTACATCTCTGGAATCACGAATGCCCCAGCGTGGGGTTGACCCCGCTGGTCCGCCGTTCCCGCCGGCCGTTTTAGACGTGCATTCCTGCGAAGATGAGAGACTTGTCTCTCTGAATCGGCTTTGGTTTGGGTGTCTCTATCGTTTGGTTTCGTGTCTGAAGCGCGTACACGACCGCCTGGGCGGTCAGTACATGAAGCTATGAAAAGAGGGTTGTTTAGTGTCACGGAGTGGGGGTTCGTGTAGGGTGCAGGTGTTTTGAAGATGGTCGTTGGGTGGTGGTCTGTTGGGAGGGTTTCGTCGTCAACGATTCTTCCTTCTCTCTTGTCTTCTTTCGACCGCTGCCTTCGTCTATCTGTTTAGCCTCCACCTGTTGCCCTGGTCCCTCTCTATGTCGTTCTAGTGTTCCTCTAATGGCTTGCTAAGGCCGATGTCTTCATGAAGGGAGTGTTTGAATAGATAATTAAGTTGAAAGCATTGAATAAGTTATTTTGTCGTTTGTGATTGTCATGATTGTCGTGATTGTCGTGGTTGGGAATAGCGTGGTCTCGGCGGTCTGTTTCTAGGGTGAACTGTGCAAATGGCAAGATTACTGTCTATCAGGTGCGGGAGGGAGTAAGACATCACCGAATGTGCTCTTCAAGCGTCCAGTACTATTTACGTAGCGTAGGAAATGTTCCATGGCTGATGGGTCTGTTAGTAGGAATGGGAGGGAGGAGGCTTTGCGGCCAAGTTTGCGATTCAGGATGAAGCGTTCGCGGTCGTATTGAGGGCAAACGAAAAGGAAATGATGGATGGTTTCTTCTGCGTCTGCGCAGATGGGGCAGTTGGGTGTGACGCTTCGTTTGATACGATGGAGGTGCTGGTTGAGAGAGATATGACGTGTGCGGAAATACATGTAGAGACTGATAAGGCGTTTCGGGAGGTTAGCGACTAGCTTAGGGAATGAATTTGACATGATGTTTGGGTCTATCTGCTTGGTGTGTTCGAATCTGGGTGACTTGGCCCATATCCGTTCCCATCTGGATTTCGTACCCTTCTTATGTGCCTGTTTGATGGCGGATATGCTATCGGGGAGTTGTTCTGTTGCGAGGTATGATGGTAGCTCTTCGATTGGGCTGTTGTTCTGCGGGCCTTCTGCCGCTTTCTTGGCTTGTTCGTCCGCCAATTCGTTGCCTGTGACGTTGCTATGTGCAGCTATCCATCGTACAGTTACTGAGAATTCTCTTCGACGGTGTGATTTCTTGAGTGCGTCCATCATTCGTCTAAAATGTTCGATTAAGTAGTGTCCTGCTTTCGGAGTCGCGCTCTCACCGAATCGTAGGGTCGCTTGGTTGTCTGCTAAGATAGAAGCTGGAAAGGAAATGTTGTTTTCGGTGGTTAGTAACTGAGCTGCTAGGGTGAGGCCTACTGCCTCTGCTTCGTATACAGTGTGTTCTTCGTCGGTACCTAAATAAAATCGTAATGTGCGGGGAGCATGCCCCTCTCTCATCAGTACTGCTGCTGCTCCGATCTTACCATTGTGTCCGGATCCGTCGCTGAAGATTTGGATGGTGTCGGTGAGCCGTGATTGTTCGTTGATGGAGTCTTCTTTAGAGTTGGCAATGTGAATTTGGTAGGGACTGCGGTGCGAAGGGTGCTGAATTGCTCCCGTAAGGGTCTCGATTTCTTCTGGGACGATTTTGAAGAAATGCGTCAAGCGATGGAGGGAGGTTCGGTGCCGTGTTACGTAGCGTCGTGCGGTTCGTTTGATATGTTCGTAGAGTGGATGGGTCTTGGGGTGAGTGGCTAGGCGGATAATGGCTCGGTGACAAGTGTTCTGTAGGAGAAGTGGGATTGGAAGTAGGTTAGCATGAACTTCGAGTAGATCAGTAGCAGTAGTTCGCATAGCTCCCGTAATAGCGATGGCAGCTATTCTTTGGACGGAGGTCATTTTGCGAGCTACTCCGAGGGAGCCTCTTTGTGTCGTGTCGGATCCGGATTTGAATGCTGGTGTGAACCAGACGTCAGCTGCGTATAGCATCTTCGGGATCGCTACGGCTTGATAGAGTTGGCGAGTGAGTTTCATAGGCATTCCACCTGCCGTGGATGATAGGCGTCGTAGTTGCATTGCATAGGCAGTTCCCTTGGCGACGGCGTAGGCTACTTGTTCTTTCCAACGTAATTCTTGATCGAGGATGACTCCTAGGAATTTGTGAGTGGGTGAAGGGCAAATAATTATACCTCGGATGGTCATGGGTGGGCGTGTCTTGGTTCTGTTCATGGAAAAGTCGATTAGCGCAAATTTACTTGTTTCGAATTTAGAGTTGTGATCACGTGACCAGTCATATCCACCTCCTCTTCGTTCGAGCATCTTTTTCAAGATGCGGTGGGTTTCGTGGAAGGATGAGCCCACAGCGATGAAGGCTGTGTCGTCGACGAAGGCGAGGGTGGATTCGTTCTTGCCGTGGCCTTTGGCCACATCTATTAGGTCAGCATTATAGATGATATAGAGTATCATTGAAAGAGGGTCTCCTTGGCCGATGCCATTAGTTACCGGAAACCATTCAGATTTGAAATCATCGAATTGAAGTCGTGTTTGCCGTCCCATGAGGACTTGCTGCGTGAAATTGATCATGGCGTGAGGGAGTCGTCGAGTTTTCATGTTATGTAGTAGCCGGTCCGTTACAGCATTCGGGAATGCGCCTTCGATGTCTAGAAAGAGCACGGATGCTACCTTACGTGTACGCCATGCATTCTTGACAGTTTCCTCGAGCAGGTGAAGAGAGTCTGTAGTTGACCTACCGGGTCTGCCCCCGAAGTGGGTACTTGGGAGTAGTTGATATCGTTCGAGATAGAATGTCATTTGGTCTGCGATGACTGCCGTTAGAAGTTTGCAGGTGGTGTTGAGGAGTGCTATGGGTCGGTAGGCTTTCGTAATGGTGTAGTCTGGTTTGCCGGGTTTTCGGAGAACTACCGTCGTGAATTGTCGCCAGGGCTGATAATAGGTTTGAAGGTTGATGGTTGCGTTGAATAGCGGGAGGAGGAATGGGACCAGGATGTCGGCGCATTGCTTGAAGACAATGTTGCATATTCCATCGGGTCCTGGCGCTTTGTAGGGACTGAGCTTCCGGATGTTGCGTTTGATCTCGTCGGGGGTGATGGGTGTCATAGATGCGATTGGGTCTGGGTACTCGAAGTCTGTCAGGACGGATGATGTGTCGGGTCGAGATGGGAAGAACGACTTAGCTAGAGCCACACTCTTTTCTGCGTTGCTGGTCGCGTCAACGATGGTCCCGTCTTGTTGGCATATTGAGAGGGTGGGGATTCGAGTCTTGCTCCCGTCGGAGGGCGTGGAGGTGATGTATTTGTTTGCGGTCCAAATTTCGTTACCTGATACTTCCTCTAACCAGTCTACCCAGTGTTGCTTTTTGGATCTGAATATTTCTTCAGCGTAGTCGTTGCGTAGGCGCTTGAATTCATTATGGCATGGGTGCAAGGGTAAACCTCTCATTTTGTAAGCAGTGTGGCTGGCTTTGTTGACTTGTCGGCGCAGGATGGTGAGTTCACGTGTCCACCATCGCTTCGAATGGGGGTTTGGCTTGGATAGAGGTACCGCTTCAGAGATGACTTCTTCGAGAGTCAGTGCTAGGTTGCGGGCTGCTGTTTGGAATTCTTCGTCGGTGACTAGGGGTGAGGGGGCAGGCCTGGTATCGAGTCGTGTGTTGAGGAGTGTCTTGAAGTTGTCCCAGTCAGTGTCGCGAAAGTTGCGGGTGGGTTCGAAGTTGGTTCTAGGGATGGTTAGCTCGAGAATACTTAAGATAGGAACATGGTCAGTTTTCGGGCCTCGTAGCGCTGGGTTAGTTCCGCATTTGATGAATATGTCCATTGAGTGATCCGTACAAAACACGTTGTCGGGCCGTGTCCAATTTCCGCTGCTTGATGATTGAAGGGTCGGTTCACCTTTGGGTAGTGGCTGGTTCATTCCGTAGTCGGCTAAGAGTTCCATGAGGGGTTGCGCTGCGTTAAGGTTGATAAGATGTTCATTTCGTTCTTCCTCCCAAAGTGGATGGTGGCGGTTGAAGTCCCCAAGCCATATCATGTGGTCTTCTGCGGATGGGCGAATGTTGGCAATGTTAGCTGTTAGGAAGGTTTCGAGAGCGTGAATGGTGTCTTGTTTCTTTCCGTCGTTGTAAATGTTGAATATGGTACAATTTCCGAAGGGGGTGGATAGTTGAATGACGACGACGTCCGAGGAGGGAAAGGGAAGCTGCTTCCAATCGTTTGTGTTCAGAGATGTGCTAACGAGCATAACAGCACGGGTTTTTTGTTCTGGGTGGGTGTAGTGTTGCGTCGGGTAGAGTGTGTGCCATTGTCGATTGGACTTGGTGTTGCGTAGTCGGTCTTCGCAAGCTTCCTGGAGGGCTAGAATATCCCACTTTTTGGCTGTCGGACCATTGAGAATTGATTCTTGTGCTGCGCGAGAATTGTTGAGGTTCTGTTGCCAGATGCGTAAGCGGGCGGGTGTTGGTTCCGGTTGTTCAGACATGGTCTACGTGTGGAGGAGGGGTCGTTACTGCTGATGTTGGTGAGGATGGTGCTGTTGATGGGGGGTACCAGAGAGGTGTGTGTGTTATCGTGGGCGACAAAGAGAGAGACGAAGTCGGAGTAGGTGGTTGAGGTGGCGATGTTTGGGGGTTGGTGGCTGTGAGCTGGTTGTTGGCGTCAATGTCAGCATCGGAGTCAAGTCTGTCGATTGGGAGGATATCGTATCTGTTTGCAGGCATTGGGGTCAGAGGTTGAGTGTTGGTGGTGGGTGGTTGGGTTCTGGGTATGGCGATGGAGGTGAGTGTGGTTTGACGTAGGCGAGGTGCCGGTGGTGGTGGAGCATCTTCTGAGTGTTGGGCTGGTTCTGCTGTCTTTCTTTCGTAGGGAGGTGCCTTGGGTGGTAGCGTAGCGTGTGTCCATTGATCGCTGGTGGGGAAGTATGGGAGGGAGTTTTCAGGGTGTTTGGCGTTGATTTCCTCGCATCGTCTTCTGAACTCAGGGCATGTTCTACTCCATCCTGCGTGATCGTCGTTGCGGCAGTTGGCGCATCTAAAGGTGCGGTAGGCATTGCAATCAGATGTGCGGTGGTTCTCCGCGCATGTTCCGCAGATGTCTTTACTTGAGTTGCAGTTGCGAGCTATGTGGCCATAGCGTTGGCATTTTGCACAGCGGGTAGGTTCTTTCTTGTCCTTCTTGACTCGGACGAGATGTTTGTCGATGTAGACACCATCTTTGATGAGCTTGTTGGCAGTTTCGGCGTTGCTGGTCTGGAGTAGGGCGAAGGCCATCTGTTGGCCAGGGGGTCTTTTGTGGGGGGGTTTGATCCAGCGCATGGATATGAGGGCTTCGTCTTCTAGGTGGTTCTTCTTCTCGATTAGCCGGAGGAGACCTGGGCGCTCAATCAGTAGGTTAACGGGAATGTATTGTACTACCAGTGTATAGGTTCTGTCTTTGAATAGGACTGCGTTGTTCAGGGCCTGAAGAAACGTTTTTCGGGTGGCGGGATCTTTGAGTTTGTTCGCTGTGTGTTCGCTGTCCAGTTCGATTATGAGTCCTCCATTGCGGAGTTGGAGTAGTGCCTTGATGCCGGCTTGGGGGTTGTTGGTGGATGGTGATAGTGACGTCTTGAGTGCGGCTCGGATTTTGCTGATTGTGTCTTCGTGACTGATTCCGGGAGGAAATACGGAGTTGTCTAGGATAGGGTCCAGTAGGATTTGGCGTGCACGAATGGCTGATCTGGCTAAGGCTTCGTCTATGGGTGGGATTTGGGCTAACGGCGTGCTTGCTACTACTGGGGTGTAGACGTTTACGTTTTGAGGGCAACCGCGTGATGTTATCGGCCGTTTGGTGTGTCCTGGGGTGTACGCCGATATGATTTCGCTGAAGGTGGATGCAGTTGGTTCTGGTGGGTTAGGCGGAGGGAAATTGGTGAGGTGGGAGTTGAGTTGCGTTGAGAGTGTGTTGATGCGATCTTGGGTGGCATCCAGCGATGGTGAGAGGAGATCGAACGTGTTACTACAATCGTCGATGGAGCTGCTTAGAGTGTCCGTGGCATTGGTGATCCGTTCTGCAGCTGCATTGATGTCTCTGTCTAGATCTATTCTTTCGCCTATCTGGTGTTGGAGTTTGGTGGTTTCTGCTATGGAGTAATTGAGGGTTTCGGTTGTTGAGGCAAGTCGGTCGAGTTGAGGAGTGATGGAGGTTGTGATCTGCCGCTCTATCTGCGGGACGAGGGTTGTTGTGATATGATCTATTATCTGGGGAGTTAGTTGGGTTAGTATTGTTGAGTCTGGAACCTGGTGCGCTTCGGAGCTTCTATTTTCGTTGGTCTTTCGGATTGCGTCATCGAGAGTTTCTGAGGCGGTTAGTATTTTTGCGACTTGTGGGGCGATGGCTGCTACCACATGATCTACTAGTTTCGATGTGACGGCTTCGGTGATCTGCTTGGCTACTGACTCTGTGACTTGTTTGGCTACCGTTGCCGTGATCTCGTCTGCTACGTGTTGTTTGAGGAGGAAGACGGCTGCTCGAATGGCAGTGATGACTGGTAGTGGTGTAGAGCCGGAGATCTGAGTTATCTGTAGGAGGATTGAGGTCAGGTGAGTTAGGGTATACGGTTCAGTTTCGATGCAGAGGCTCTTTTTTGTTAGGTATTTGTGCGCACTAGCAAAGTCAGAGACTGTGCTAGGTAGCGCTTCTATTTCTGTCGAGGTCAGTGTGGTTATCGCGGATCTAGTTGTTCTTTTTATGGAAGGTCCGCCTGGCATAGTTGGAGAAGTGTTCCTGGAGATTGGCGTTTTGGAACCGATACTCATGCTACGTCTTGTGGTGGCCATTTTTCTGATTTTTTAATTTTTAAGGAAGGAGTTTTGGAATTACTTGGAAGGAACAGGTGGTTTTTTGGTTGAGCTTGGGCGCCGTTGGGCGTCGTTGGCGCCTTTGGGCGCTGTTGGTGAGAAAGTTTTCGGGGTCTTACTCGGGGTGCCACTTGGTGTGTGACCAAGAAGCCTTTGTGTCAATCTTGCTGATGCCAGTCGGGGGCCGGTTCTCCCGTACGCATACAGTGCGCAACAAGAGCTGCAGGAAAGTTGGTGAGTGAGTACCTTATTCAACTGGTTTCTTCCAAGATGTAACATCGACTTCAATGAAAGTCGTTCGGGCGCGCTGATTTAGAACAGGACGTTATAGTCCAGTTTCGTCTCTGCAAGAGTACGGTTCGGAAACGGCCGTACACGGATGATAATTGTGACTAAGTGGGTTTGGGGTTCGGCTCATGCTAAAGGCTGGCCGAACCTGGGAGATGAAGCTTCCTGTTTCCCCAGTAGTCCAACCTGTAAACCACCGCCGGTAGGTTCATGAGAATACAGCTGATCAGGTATATACTTGGTTGCAGTCGTGCACGGACCATTTACTCCCACTGGTTTGTATAAAGGCTCGATGGTATTCTCCTGACCCCCAAACAGAACGAGAAGAACGGCGCGGTAGGGGTAGCCCCCTAACACTAAGTTTCGCAGGTCCGAAACCGCTGCCACTAGCGCTTCTAGCTTCCCTCTCGCCCTAATGAAGACCCTTATCTTAGGAGGCGGATGGCAAAGGACACGGCCTACCTCGCGACGCTCTGGCTTTGGCTTCACTTTGTAGTTAGTCTTTCATTCTTGTTAAGGTTTTTACCACTCTCTTACGTCGTAGACCGACGCTTTCTAACTCAACTTACACACTTAGCATCGTCTGGGTTTACCCCAACAGGCTTTCCACATCAAGGAAAGCCTTATAATGCTGACGTCACTTCGTAGCTAGCCGCTAATTACTGTCAAAGTTGTTAGCGCTCTCCTACGTCGTAAACTGACGCCCTCTGTTAAACTTAACTCACGCACTTAGCATCGTCCTGGTCTACCCGAACAGGCTTGCCATATCAAGGGAAGCCTTATAATACTGTCGACTATCGATTCATTCCCAGCCTAAATAGCGCATCCGATTTCGGGCAAATTCTTTTCAGAGTTAAGTCGCATTCTGTTTTATCTCCACTGGTCTTCGTGCGTCGGAAATCCAAATCCAAACGCACTAGGATAACTCTTGTCGACACCTTCAGCAAGGCCAAGACGCATTATCACAACCATTGGACTATCTATTCGCAACCAAATGTACCGGGAGGTACTTTGTTTTGGATAGATAGTCAAATGTTGTGCGAGGATATTTCGATTTTGGGACGTCCAGTCCTCCGACTTGAAACGCCTGGCCTGCAGCATGTATATGCACACTCATTCACGGGCCATCGCATGATCCTGACTCTAATGTCCGCTCAGGTGAGTAGTACAAACTATTCACGAGTTTGTCAGGAATTTATGCGGCGTTTATAGTCAGATGAGAAGCAGAGGGGATAGTGATGTGCTCATCCGACACTTTAGTTGCATTATGGACGGCGCAAAGTTGTATCGCCCATATTCTGGAAGTCATTCGATCTTGTTTATCAATACAGCCCACTTATTTTTCGACTGGAGATACTAGTGTTGCGCTATTTGCGTCGGTATACCTTTCGTCAGTTGCGAAAGCAAGTGATTAGGCATGCCTTCGAACGGACTTTACGGATTTCCCCGCAGACAATCCAGACAATTACGAAGCCCAGAAGATGCCAGAGAGGGTTTGGTTCTGGAAGTCATTCGATCTTGTTTATCGATGCAATCTACTTGTAGCACTGGAATTTTTCGACTGGAAATACTAGTATTACGATCCTATAACAAGTGACTAGGCATGCTATCGAATGGACTTTACGGGTTTCCCCGCAGGCACTCACGCACGATTTGGTAGAGAACGGCACGTTTGTTGCAGACAAAACCCTCCTCCCTGCACTACCGTGGGATTCAGGAATAAAGGAGACGAATGCGACAGAGGGTCGCAACTCGTGCGATGAAAAAAAGCAAGCTTACGAGTGCAGGCCTTCAAATCGTTTCGTCGAACGAGAGTAAAAGATGACGGAAACTGACTGATTCTCACAAGTCTGTATCTCTGTACAGGTGTCATTACGCACTGATACGTGAAGCCAAAGTTAACTTCAGCATGCTTATCTTGCAAAAAGGTCCGTCCGGGATTTTATATGGACATGGAAATGAAAACGCATTCAAGATGACGCCGACTTGAAGCTTTACGGGGTGACTGACCCTTTTAGTATACGGAGGTCCTTGACTTGCTGTATGCCGCACTTATCTATCTATCAGATATCCGGAACTAGATGGGACGAGCAATAGAATTGGATGGCCTGATAACGCTTTTGTTGTTGTCAGGACAGCAGCGCGTGGACTCGCTCGAAGTTCTATACATAAATCAGTAGCTACTTCCAGGTGTTCCGCCGCGTTGTGTTGAATGAATTGAAGGTCCCTCACGTGGATCGAGATGCTGATTATTCGGGTTGTCTGGCGCAATGTGATGGAATCAACGAGTTTACAATCTCTGGATTCAACATCTGGACCGTGCCCAGACGGTGCACCGGTGATATAGCTGGTACAAGGCGCGGGGGTAAGCTTGTCGTGGGAATCCGAGTGTTTGTGACTATGTACGGGGGATGCCGATCTAGCGTAATGAATTTTCCCCTGATTTGAACGATTTGAGTTTGATCGTGACAGATTATTAGCGCACTTACCAAAGCGTCGGGTTTTCGTGTTCCATGTGTCGCGTGCTCGCAGGCCAGACAATTGTTCTTGTCGTTGGCATTTTCAAATCAGGTCGTGCTTGGCTCTGCCACAGCGCTTGTAAGTAATGAAGAACACCAAGCGCGTTTTTGACGCAGTGGCACCGCTGCCGAAGGTAGGAATGCACTTGGAGCATTGACCTGCAATACAGTATTGATCAGCAGGCACTTCAAGGAGTCCATTCAGGAATACGAAATTTGCGAGAACGTTTAGGAGTTATGGTCACAGCGGTAGATGCCGTGGACAGGGCTCCTGCCGGCAAACAAAGCGACACCGGCACGCAGACCATGTGATTAATATTATGGGGCGTAGCTCCTATGTGAATCCAAGACATTCAAAACTATTGTGTGACACGATACGCGGAGGTGGTTAACGAATGGCGACGATTTGAAATCCAACTCAACCCTCAAATTTTTATTACTGAACGGACCACCCGTCGTTAGCCGGTACACCGGATATTGCTGCCGATAAATATACTCCTTGCACTGATAACGCTGCCAAGTCCTTTTCAACGCCGCAGAAATCCTTCTACTCGGATATACCCGAGCGTTAACGAGGAGCTCTCCGTGTCAGGTTCGTGTCTGATAGAGAATTCAAGCTGATATGAGCATCTCCGTCTTGTGCTAAGCCTAGATCGCATTGATGATGAGTTCGCCGTCTTTGCCAACCTGCCAAGCATAAAATGACTCTTTGTGGTGGAACGCGGAGGTAACTCGATCAATACAAACCTAAATTGGAAATTAGTCTAGAGCAAAGTCATTAAAGTTCAGACCGGAGTTTGAAATAAAGGGGCTTGAATATAAGGGTGATCGTCGATAAATCCTTTTCACTCAAACTCTCTTTCGAACCTCCACGTTCCGTTCCAGGTCTCCGTTTCGTTCAGTTCTCGTGTAACAGTTTTCGAGACTCTATTGTATTACCAGTGATCTCCTTCACTATGTCACAATCAAGTGCAAAAATCTACGTTGGGTCAGTCTGTTGTCTGAACTTGTTTTGCAAGCGCTTCTCCCGTCTCCCAGGCGGAGAGAAGCGAAACTGATACCTAAAATTCTTTCTTTCTTCATATAGAAATTTGAGTTGGAACACCACTGATGACACGTTGCGCAATGTCAGTTATGTACGATTGTGACCAGCGGGCTCTTGACTCCGGGCTGCTTCGCTATGTCATCTTCGTCTGAAATTGTTCTCGAGTTGCATGTTCTTACCCGTTTTCGGTCTTGGGACCTTTGCACAATATAGGCTTTCAGCAGTTATGGACCAGTGCTTGACGTGCGCGAGTTATCTTACCCAGTCGTCCTTTTTGATTGAGTTGATCCGTTCAGTCTATTGTCATGCGTGACCGTGACACTGGTCGTTCCCGGGGTTTTGGCTTTGTCACCTACGGGACCACTGAGGAAGCAAACCATGCTATTGCCAACATGAATGAGCAGGAGCTTGATGGCAGGAGGATAAAAGTAAACCTTGCTAATCCCCGTAGCTCCGGAACAGGTGGTGCTGGCGCAGGCGGCGCAGGATTTGGTGGTGGTTATGGTGGCGCAGGCGGCTACTCTGGTTCGTAGCAAGTTTGCAAACTTAGCAAGCGTCTTGAACATGTTTTCAGGTGGTGGCGGTTATGGTCAACAACCCGCCTATGGAGGTCAGGGCGGTTATGCTGGAAGCCAAGGTGGGTACGGTCAAGGTGGTTATGGAGGAGGCTACCCAGGTGAGACTACTTTACAATGTATATTTTCCATTTTTGATGTAATTCACAAGCTCCGGCGTATGGAGGCGGTTTTGCTCCCACTGGGTACAGTACCCAGCAAGGTTATGGTCAGCAAGGTGGAAATGGCAATCCAGCAGGTTACGGCCGCGGTTATTGATCAAGTGTTGATCATCTTTGGCACGTACATTCCTTTTCTCCACTATCGAAACAAGCTGAATCATGTGCTACCAGCTCTCCCCCTATCTACCTTTGGACACAACATGCTCTTTTTTCTTATTCACATCCACACCCTACTTGCACATGTCCAGTATTCTCTCTCTCCTCATTTTTAGTCTGAACTCTATTACGATTCAGCGTGTACTTGTATGTTCAGATATATCCATCCCATGCCCTCGTCCGAAGCACCATCCATCGTAGCGCTTTTCCAGATTCAGAAGGAACGACCGTCTTTTTATAAGTATAGGGGACTAATGTCCTGTATTTGGGAGGGGTATTTTAGATAATGTGTGGTCAGTACCGATGTCATAAAGTCATCCAACTATAACAGGTTAGAACGAACCATGATGACCGAATGCGAACTGCCCGTTGAATGCAAATTTAAAATGCAGGGACTCCGTATTTCGACCCCTCTGTCCAGGGGTTCCAAGGGCACGGGCCGCGCTCTCGGAGTACCTCAGTCGTGCTCAACAAATAGTCACTGGCAGGACTCCGCATGTTCGTAGCGTAGCATCGTCCATCTCCTCGTCCGCATAAATTACTCTGACTCAGGCTACCACTACTGCCAGCCACATTAACGAAAATACCGAGATAATAGGTAAATAGAGCACTGCGAGTCTCAATTCCTTCAAGCCTTGTCAACATTCCGCATCAACGCGCACAACCCGAAGAACATAATTCGTCCTCAAGACTTTGTGCCCTCCTGTTGCCTCTAGAACGGGAAGCACACAATTCAATTCGCGGTGTCTTCGTTACATCCACCTTCACTTCTCCCTCGCATCCCCTTTCGCAATATTCTCTTCGCTTCCAGCATGGACACTTGTTTCCTCGACACGACCCCGAGCCGTGTCGGTGTGGTAGAAGACCAAGACAGCCAGCGCAGCAACAGAGATGCAAGAGAGCATGAACCAAAACCCAGCAGACTGGCCATCATAATTCGAAGGGCCCCCATTCCCAGTTTGCACGCTCGTCTGGATGGTACACACGGCAGCCAATCCGACGGCAGAGCCGAGTTGCAGACCGCAGTTGAACATGGCGCCTACGGTGCCTGCCATAGAGGGCGGCGTGGCTCGGAATATCGCGATGCTGTGTGAGAATAAGGTTGAGACGTACTTTGCGGAGATGTTGGTTAGCATTGCACCGGCAGAACCGATGACGAAGCCTGGGAATACCAATGGCCAGTACTTTTCAGGTTTGTCTGCAAATGCAAACAACACCAGTGCCGTCATCATCATCAGGACTCCGCCAAGTATCAGCCACTTGGCATTCATGGTGCTGAGCCCCTTCACCCTACTGGCAAAACTGAAGACAAAGGCGATGATGCCTATTGGAAGCCTGAAAGAACGTTAGCGTCGTCAGATCACTACACTCAAGCACACGGTCTTTACTCACATGTGGACAGCAGAGGACATGGCGCTCCATCGATAAATATCTTGCCACAGGGACACGTAGGTGGTGAATATATTTGCCCACCAAAAATATGGTAGGAGAGCCGTTCCGAACAGAACAGAGAAATTCGGAATAAACCATGTCGAAGGCGGTCTACGAATCAGTCTAAATCAGAGAAACCTTGAACAATCGAGCAGACATACACGGCTGCGCATTCAATCGGCTGGAAGGCCTCCCAGTAAAAGAATGCAACAGTCGTGGCGATGGAGAAGATCAGAGGTGCTAGTGTGGTAACTGATCTCCAGCCTATCATAGACCCTGTCGTCACGGCAAATATAAAGAGTATGACAGCAACTGGCCACGTGCTCAGTATGGTGTAAACAGACGATCTAAAATCGTGACTGACCCGTAAGAATTGATATTCCAATAACATCAAGACTCCTGAATTTGGTGAAACCGCTCTTTGGAACCTTATTTTTTGTTTGTGAAGGTATAAGTACCGCAGAAATGAATGTGGTCGGTATGATCACCGCCGACACAAACCAGAATACCCAGCTCCAGCTGACATATTCGACGAAAAAGGCACCAGAAATTAAACCCAACACTGAAATATTCATCGTGAGTACCTAGACCACTTTAGGAAGTAGAAGGTCGCTGACCGATGCCAATCGCCCCCCAAGCTCCAAACGCTGCAATAGCCACTGCTTGATGCCTAGGCTCAGGAAAAAGTCCGACGAGCAGAGCTAGAGCCGATGGTATGGTGAGCGATGCGGCTACGATGATTTAGTGAGCCTTCGAGTTCGTGACGGCAGCGAAGGAACGCAACCGATTCCACTTAGGGCTCTCAGTGCAAGGAATAAGATACCGTCGGAGACGAAACCGATGCCGATACAGATTACCCCTAAGATGAATTTACCGGTTATGAAGGTGTATTCTTCATTAAAAGTTAATCCGACGCTTGAAAAGGTAACTTCTGGAAGACTGACTAGGGTTATAGATGTCGCTGATTTTTCCGCTCTGTAGATATGGTAAAAATCCTTTCGTCAGCTATGAAGGCAGGCCTGGGACTCACCATAAGGAGAAAGGATGCAAAAGTCAACTGGTATGCACTGATGATCCAAACTGATTGGCTTTGGGTGAGGCCAAACTTCCGGACAAGGGAAGGGATAGCGGAAAATAATGCCGAGTTGGTGAGCGTATATAAAAACTGTGTAATGCAGAAGATCAAAAGCAGAGTATATCTGCGCGCGTTTGAAGGCACGGGGCGCCGAACGGCAACTTCGCCGTCGCCATCAGAGGTCATGGGTGACTCGGATTTGCTAGCAAGTGACGAGCTACAGAGTTTCTGTTCGTTCAGAGTCGTACTGAAGACTCGGATGTTCTACTAGTAGAAAGGAGTGCGATAGCCAGTGGGGCGGTTGAGTTGGGCATTAAGATAGAAAACCCTTGACCCTTTTTATAATGGCTCTGGGTGCGGCCTAGTACTACCACTGAAAGGCTGCCACGGACTCGGACACGCGAAACTCCTAGGCTATACCCTATTGCCATCATGATGTCAGTAAGGATGGTATTTGGTTGGTTATGCCCGATCTTCCCTAACTTTGTTCAATCAAAGTTCTTGCCTTATCTCGTCGGGAGAAATGTCAGCCTCAGGAGATCCACTAAGTAGTAACTTAGACAGACATGTCTAGAAGTCTCGGATAATCAATATTGAATGGCGCAACTTGGGAATAATAGCCCGAGACGACCACAAATGTTGATGTGGCCACGTCGGAGTCGTTGATCGACTTGTCCCACATCCGAGCGAACAAAGTTGACTGGATGATGATCAAGGGACTTTCATAATTGCCGGGTTCTGTGGCGTTCGTAGAACGTTCACACGGTAGAGTCGATAGTGTTGAATAAACTTAGAGGCTCGAACGAGATAACTGTCCGAACTAAAGTTATATTCGGGGGGGGGGGTGAAAGATCAACTACCCTACCAGTAGATATACGTCGGTTTATATACTGTAGGGTAAGAATACTATGGAATACGAAGGAACGAAGGTAAATGTGTATCTAAAGAGAGTGATGGGTGTTAAAATTGGTTGTCATCATCAATGATCAGATGATGACTTTTTGACGAGCGTTACATACGCCCTCCAGGTCCCCTAAACGAGGGGACCTTTCTTCAGGTGATGTGAGTTCCGTTAGTCATCGCGCGCTGGCCCCAAGGACGCAAAGGCAGCTGATAATAGTACTAGGGTTAGTACGTTGACGATTAAATTACTAGCGAGAAGAAATCTACTGAAGACATCCTCGGTAGTGACACCATCAAGATGACCAGTCTGTTCAAGGTCAAGTTGCTCAGCGGCAGCGATAATTTCTTCAACATCAGGGCCTGGGTCGATGGGGGAAGTAGCTGGAGCAGGGGTTGGTGCAAGGATAGTGTCAGCGTTCCTCGTCACTTCTGCAATGACTTGTGCAGCGGTCCTGAGGACAGGATGGGCGTCGGGATAAAGTTTAGGACGAGTTGGACGATGGTTAGGCTGGGATTGAGCACGATATGGGCTTCGAGGTACTCTTTCAGGGGAAGAGGGCCTTCGAGAAGGACGACGATGGTCCAACGAGAGATTACGATTACGAGGGTAGTACCGGCCGTTGTCGCGAGAGCGTTCAGCACGTTTGGCACGAACGAGCTGGTCGAACGCGTGCGATTCCTTTCGGGTGGCCAGCTCCTCTAAGGGACGATGGGCAAGGTAAGCGGTGGAGCGAGAATTAACTCTTTGAGGGCGCTTACTGGCCTGTGCCTCAGCACGAAAGAAGCGCGTAAATGCGCCGAGGGCGTCAGAGTCATGCTCGCGCTGATGGGGAGGACGATTATGCCCTCCCCTACCTCTGTGGTAACGTCCAGGATGTCCTCGACCAGACCGTGACGGTCTGGGAGAATTGGCATGCTCTCCAGGCTCTGTCCTGATCGGTGGCTCGTCAACGAGCATGTCGACTTCAGAGGGAGTTAGGGACCTGGGATGCATGGAGAGATGAAGAGGCAGTGGGTGGGGACAAGTCTTGCCTTGCCATCTCATTAAATATGCAGGATCAAGTTCGCTTAGAGAATGCGTACTGGCTAACTCAGCTATCATTCGGTCAACAATTCCGAATACTGAGTCCCGGGTCGTAGGGGGCGTATCAACGGTACAAACGGGGATAGTGCTTGATGAAGTCGAAATTTTCCTCGGCAAGTGAGAGATGCCTGGGACGCCGAGCGCCTCGAAATACTGTGTGAGAGCTTCGAGCCGAGATACTTGGTGGTAGGGGGACCATACCCTGTCACCGGTAGAGTATTCGACCTCAAAGAGGGCGTCAGTGCCAGCTCCTTGGTGGTCTACAATTCTCTTGACGGACCACTCTTCAAGGTGTCCGATGTCGGAGACCTGGTTGATCTGACGACCGGGGAACCGGCGATCGTCGTTAGGTACGTGAGGACGAAGTAGACTGGCGTGGAAAGCTGGGTGAAGTCCACGTTGTTTGAGAAGCGCAGGAAGGTCCAAGAGGAACGAATTGTTCTTGTAGTCGTTTAATATCCTGTAAGGCCCTATGTACTTGGGTGCGAGCTTACGCGCTCGTCCCTTGGGCAGAGATAGGTTTCCCGTCGATAAGTACACTAAGTCTCCTTTGACAAAGGGCGAGTCTATTTGCTTACGGTTTGCGGTCGTGGTGCTTGAGACGCGGGAAGCTATAATGGAGTCATGAGCGCTCATTATAGCATCTTTCATTCGCTGAGCGAACACACGTACTCCGGGGAACTCAGAGTTCGTGTTCCAAATGAGTGGAGGTGGCAGTCTGCCATAATTAAGTACAAACGGTGGATACTTAGTGGTCTCGGAGCATGCGGAGTTTATCGCGAATTCGATAGCAGGCAGCTTCAGTGCCCAATCCCGTTGGTTTGGTGATACCATTTGGCGTAACATTTGCATGATAGTCCTATTGGCACGTTCAGTTGCTCCGTCGGTCTGGGGGTGAAACGAAGTCGACATTTTAAGTTCAACACCGGTGAGCTGGTGGAAACGTTGCCAGAAGGTACTGGTGAATAGTGTGTCGCGGTCACTAACTATATTGGTGGGCATACCATGGTGCTTGTATACTAGGTTAAACATGACCTCGGCGACGTCCTTAGCTCTATATGTTTGTTTAGTGGCGGCTAAGTGGACCATTGAGGTGAGATGGTCAATGGCGACCAAGATCATATCAAACACACCGAGTAGTGTTTTGGACTCAGGCAGGGGGCCAACGAAGTCTATACCGATCGTTTCCCATGGGCGTGTTGGGACTTCTAATGTTTCCAGTAGTCCATAGGGTTGGTGGTTAGACGGCTTTGAGACTTGGCACGTTGGGCAAGATTCACAGAAGGCTTGTACATCAGCGGCTATGCCTTTCCACCAAACGTTCTCGCGCAGGTAGAGAAGAGTCTTTGATGGGCCGAGATGCGCTAATATTGAGTGAGCATGAGAAATGATGATTTCTCGTACTCGCCGTGGTCCAATCTTAATATCAGGGATGCAAAGGATCCGTTTTCCCTTACTTCTTAGGTATATTCGCCCGTTGTTTACTTCAAAATTCTTGAAGGCGGCCGGGCTTTCGAGAATCTTGGCAAAGAATAAGTCCATGTCGTATTTATTAGCGATTTGTCCATGGATGTCTGCTGTTGGGTCGCCCAGTGCTATCACTTCGGTTAGATGAGGGGGGAGAGTGGTATTTGCATCTTCAAATGCGGGAGTGGGAGCATCAGGATTTGGTTGTAGGTCCTTGTTTGTCCTGCTGACATCAGCTAAGCCGGATCCTGCGTCATTTGAGTTCTGGGCTCCAGTGACGTCTTTGCTTATGTCATCTGGCTGGGCTTGTCTATGTCCTGAGTGTCTAGACCGGGTGACTTCATTGCTTACGTCAGTTTGTGGGCTCATGTTTGTTGGCTTTCTTCCAGCGCTGTTTGTTCTCGCACTGGTCACCATTCCGCCCTCTAGTGATGCTGAAGGGGTACTACCCATCTTCAGTATCACTCTCTTGATTTTGGTGGCAGGTGAGTCCTTTGGTGTACGTTCAGAGGCTGACTCCTTTCCAACTTGCAGTGTCATTCCCCTACCGCTGATATCCCGGTCTACCGAGTCACCAGCCTGTAGTTGGCCTGAACGGTTGGCGTCCGTGTTGACACTCGGTCTGAGCGACCTCCCGTCGTCCGCCGGTTTAAGCGATCTCATGTCGCTCTTGGTGAGTGGTCCTTCGTTATGCTCACTCTTACTGAAGCCTCGGTCATTCGGTAGCTTCGAAATGACAAACGAATTTGTCAGGACCTGCTGGGACTCGCCGTTGTCTGGACTGGCTGAGGCATGTTGAGGGACGCCACTACCTGGTGAGGTTGTCAGGACCTGCTGAGGGATGCCTTTTCCCTGACCGACGAGCTTCTCCGCTAGGCGCATGGAGCGTCTGTTCTCGGTCGCACCCAGAAAGAGGGGGGTGCCAGTGTACACCGGGGCGGTAACAAAGTTGAGGAGAAGTGTTCTGGGTGCGTCTTCCTCTTCTACGCTGACAAACTCACTCTGAGCCCTCACCGTACCTTTAGGCTCATTACTGTACATGCGTGACAGCGCATCCGCGAGGGTGTTATCTGCTCCAGGTAAGTACTTTATTTGGAAGTCGAACTCGCTCAATGCTTCTAACCACCGGGCTTGTCTAGGCGATAACTTGTTCTGGGTGGTGATCCACTCTAGGCCCTTATGGTCCGTGAAAACACGGAACCGAACACCAATCAGTAAGTGCCGAAAGCGTTTCAAGGACTCTACGATGGCTAATAGCTCCTGTTCGTGTACCGGGTAGTTTTGCTGCGCGGAGTTAAACTTGCCGGACCAGAATGCAACCACATCAGCTTGCTGGACCGGGTCACCCTGTGAAAGTACCCCACTGGCTCCAGTGAAAGACGCGTCAGTCACGAGATTGACTGGGGAGGAGCCGTTGATAGCTTTCGGTAAGTCAAGTGCTTTTCGTCTCGTATCCCTGTGAGTATTGACGCACGCTCTCACCAGGTCAAATGCCCGCTGATCGGTGGGGTTCCAGTCCCAGCGGGTGGTTTGTGCAGCGATCTTTGAGAGATGCTGCATGTGCACTCTTATTCCCTCACAGCCGGCGGCCAAGTACCCAACTGAACCGATGAACTGCATCAGCAGTTCCTTCGAGGTAGGTGTCTTCCAGTTCATGATTTTGTCAACCTTATGTGGGTCCAGGCGTATACCTTGGTCGTCAATGACGTGCCCAAGTATGGTGAGTTCGGTTTTAAAA